GAAGATGATGAGTCTAAAACTGTACGTTACTGGTAACAAGTTTAGATTTTTAGTACAGGTTCCTTCGCTTTATGCTATACATGTGTTCCTAGAAAACAGTGTGTCCTGTGGGAACGAAGACAGGGACATGACTCGCAACAGGGACAACCTAACCTCACAATGCAAGCCCTGAAGATCAAGCAAACTTACCCATTACAGAAGCACAAGGAAAAGATGAGCCACACCAGGACAGAACAGAACGCCTGCAGTTCACTAGCCAGCTTTATTTCTGGATGAAAGCAGCGCTGGTGGATGATGCCATCACCGAATGCCGCCCAGCCAAAATAAAAGCCAACAGCAAAGGAGAAATGGAGGAGGCATAGCCGGAGGCAAGCAGCAAAGGTGCCCCCCAGGCCAGGTACAGACTGTACTGGATAGCACCCAGGTGCACAAGGACAGGTCCCTTCTGAGGGGTTTGCAACTCATTGAAAAGACAAAGATGGTGTCGAGGGACTTCAAGGGACTTTGGGAGCCACAGACACCGGGCTCATAACGGGATGGGCCAAGGCCTGGTGCCCCCCTTTTTTTTTTTTGTTATTAATCCTTTTTTCTTTGTTGGTAGCCCAGAGGGACCCCAACAAAGGTCAGGGCCCTGGGCAGCACTCACAGATTAAGAATGATAAAGGCATGTGCTACAAGCTGCAGCAACATTAAGAAAGGCACTAAAGAACATCAGGGACAGCCTAGCACCCCGAAGAGGCCCATAGCTGGGTAAAGACACCAAAGGCTCTGCAGGCAAGGAAAAGTACAAGAATCAATACCAGGGCGTGCACCAGCAGGTCATCAAGCAATCATCCTGTAGGCTGGCGCATGGCTGGGGTGTAGGGGAGGTGGAGCCCCAAGAATACCTGCTAGGGAGTGTGACTGCCCCACAGGGAACCACAGGAGGGAGCCCCACCACTGAAAGAAGATCAAAGTTGTGGCAGGCAAGTTTTGGGGTTTCCCTCGGGGAGAACGTGATTCCCTGCTGAGATCGCAGAACCAAACATCACACACAATCCCAGGCACATGCTCCAAGATGGCTAGAAAGAGCCTTCTCAAGACCAGGCAAGCACACCTCACATAACTCGAAATTGCATAAGGAGAACCCACTTTACAATGTAACAAATATGGATATGTTTCAAGACCTTGACTGTACTGACCCCCAGACCCATTTCTACCACTTTTACAAGACAATTTTGGTACTCACCAACAGCAGACAGTACATACAAGCACAGGGTAGTGGTGAATGTTACCATAATGGGGATGACAACTGCAGAAACACATGGCACAGACAACGAGCAAGGAGCACAGTCCACACAGGAGACTATATTTTGATGCAAATCACTCCCATAATGCACTGCAAAAAGCAGCTGACTGAGGGCTTCCACCACACCGATCACATAAAAGTGAATTTACCTCACAGATGACAAATTTCTGGTATAAAAAGGGTCATTGTATAAGAGGGAATTTGCACTTATAAAACCCGCATAAAGTGAGGGAAATCTGTACTTTCATTTTTAATAGCATATAATATAATTAAGATAGCCAAAAATTCTCTTTCAGACTAGCTTAAGCAAACTCTTAAAAGAAAACATTGACAACAGAGTGCCTTTGGAATACTTGGGCATATAGCTTTGTTAGAAAGTAGTAAATATTACCATGGAGGTAAATAAACTGCTTGAAAATGATATTTTCAGTCAATTTAAGCTTGGTTACCTTCCTGGTAAGGAGGTGATCTGGGGAAAATGAAGCAAGATAATACTGCCAGAATAAGATATGCTATTTTTATTAGATAAAAGTATTCTGAAAGATAGTTGTAACACTATGCAATAGATGGTTGGCACAACCACAGTACAAATCTAAAAGACTTCCTAACATTATATATTAGAATTAATGTATCAAAATACTTGAAGTCTAGAACATAAAGTATTTTCAATAAATACTTGTCCTAATAAAGTATTAGTATGGTACAGAATACTTTTAAAATATAATTAATAAAGCACCTTTTTCATAGCACTTTTCCTTCTCATAGATATCTTCTTCAGAATTCTCTCTTTAGCTGTGTCCTTCTGAATAATTAAAAAGTGTCATTTTAAGTAAATGTATATCCTCATGATATTGTATAGAATACTTATCTTTTGAATAAAATCTCATAATAAAAAAACTAATCAATTCACCAAATGGCTTTTCACATTGCCAGGGCACAAAAAACTCAAAATCAACCACTGCTGTTTTGCTGCGGGGAGTGGGGGTGGGTTGTGGTAGAGGGCCAGATTAGCTTGTTTTTACTTAGCTGACACTGACAGTTAATACCTTTCTTGCTAATACTGATGTTCAAATTTAACGTGGCAGCCTTTGGGTGTTACCTTTGACATATGGCTGCTGCATGCAGACTGTCAATTACACATACGCACTTTCCTCCCTTGGTTTCTATTACCTGAGAAAAAGTGTTACTGAAGTTTTTATAACCTGCACTAGCATGCTGAGAGACTGGAAAACAGCAATTTATTTGCCTGTTTCTTTGGCCTCTTGTATACCAGCCCAAACATGCCACCCTTATTCTTTTACAGGACCTAAGGATTATTTGACATAAAATCTTTTTAATTTACTGAAATCCGTAGTAATTTTTCTTTCCAACTCGTTTTCGTTACTTCGAAAATGTTTGAATTGATCACATTCAACAAACTGGTACCTGGTGAGGAGCCATTATGGAATATGTCCTTCTTCTCTCCCCTGCCTTTCTGCCTTTCAGCAGGAAGTTATTTTAACCTTCTGCCATATAAAGAAGATGGATCACAGACTGCTATAATTTTCATAATTTATCATTAAAAGTTTTTTTCTGAAAGTCTGGTCCAAAGTGAAACCTAGACCAACACTTGATACCTAATTGTAGAAAACCCAAATTCAACTCCTCCTCACAAGCAAAACACTGGGAGAGATGCCAAAAACCCAGTATCACTCTTGAAAAACAGAAATGCTTTAGTTTACATGACTCCACAGCAATCCTTCTAACCAATTAAATGTTGCAATGCCCACATATATAGGGGCACATGTCTACTCATATAGCTAAATATGTTGTAAGAAAGGCATTTTACCAAATGCATCCAAACACCAGTTCAATATCTTCTGAACTGAAGTATGTGGGTGTAAGCAACTCAGAATCTCCCTTTTCTTTTCATCTTTATTGAACATGATATTCTACAGTGTAATGAACTACATTGTGCTAATGCTGCTTTCTATGCAAGTTCCATTGATAAACTACCTCTTGCTGAGACGCAATGGAATAAATTGTCCTGATTTTCTCAGAATGTTTTCCATAAATATGATTAGGTAAAGTATGCAGGTAAATATGCAAAATGTGGTGTACGAACACATTTTACGTGTTATTGGTTAACAGGAGGATACCACTGCCCTGTTACAAATCATATTTCTGTATTGCACAGAGATGTATACTGAAAATTAATTTCCCTGCATGAACATGGTATGCCTTTACTTAGCACTAACCTTCCTCATTTGGAAATGTTGCAATCATTCAACCTTGAATGACAATTACTTTTAATAGCCTCAAGATACTACTGAATGTACTAATAATGTCCTTGTTGGCAGCCAAAATCTTAATTCCAAGTACTAAACTCTGGCTGTTTAATAATTTCCCACTCCCAGTGCTGCTAGCTAGCACTACAATATTTTAAACATTCTGCATACACAATCTGCAGAAGAAAGAAAGGAAAAAGAAAGAAAAATGTAGATCTGTGGGTTTCCATATAGGTCTATGATCTATTCTATGATTAACATCACCTTGCAGCTTAAAATGTAAACATGAGTCATGTCCATCTTATCTGCAAAGAAATATAAAATTAATTTTAAAGTAACTTCCCTGAATTCCTTCTTCTGATGACAGTTCTCGTTTCTGGTCAGGATCCATTTATTCTGAAGTGTTACAAATGACTAGAAAGAGACCATGATATGTCATGTCACAGAATGTTTGACATCAATACTATCAACTACTAGTTACACCTCTCAAAATTAAACTATTCAACTTTTGTTCAGTTCATTTGAAGGAAAGAAACACTTAACCTGATTGCAAAAAACCCAACAAGCTTACACTTCAAAAATGTCAACCAATGGAAAAAGTTTTTTCATGACTGCTTTTCCTCTGAATATGTATTTCTATCTCTGCAATTTTAAGAGTTTAGAACGTCTCTTCTCAGCTGTTTAAAACAATGTTCACTGAGAAATGTGACTACATTTACTAATTTGACTCTTTTTGAAATGTAGCTGTACCTCAGGATTAGAAACGATTGCTGCTTTCCTAGTGCTAGATGCATTTGAAGACTCGTAAAATTCCAGCTCTGAGCTCTGTAATTTAGAAGCAGACATCTTAGGATATAAAGTGCTTCTACTTTAATAGTTTGTATTTGTGACATGGGAAAGGTCTCTGTATTTATTAATGAATGGATACAACGATCTAGTCAACTAAAGAAGAAAAAAAACACACCCCTCTATCCCAAAGAGAAGGGATACACACGGCAGTCCTCCGTCTGCGCTTGCCCTTACACCTTCAAGGGGTACAAACCAAGCTGCCCGGGCTCTGAAACCAGGGCTGGGGTTCTGCCCGCAAAGCACAAGGGCCCGCCCTGCGCTGATCTTCTCCACAGGATGAGGCAGTGGTCGCCTGCTAGTCACGGCTCCACAGCTGATTCTTCAAGAGCCAGACGAGCCAGTCTCGGGCGAGCCCGGATCAACGCGGAGCCAGGCTGGTAACGAGGGTCACGCCTGAAACACGCCCAGACACAGGACGTTATAAACCCCTCCCCCAACCGCTACCCACGCGCCCGCAGAGGGCAGGGAAGGGAGACAAGCAAACCCCTCCCCCCCAACCGAGCAGGCGCACTGCGACCTCCGCGCTCATTGGCCAGCTTGTCTCTACGCGTGGCTTTACGTCACGCGTCGCGAGCCCCTGAGCATACGCGCTGGGCGCTTCTTAGCTGCGCCTGCGCGGTGCGCGGAGCAGGCGCAGTGGAGGTGCCGTTCGGGAAGGTTCGGCGGCGGCGTCTTCCTCGCAACCGCTTTCCTTCGCCCGGAGAAGCCGCTCAGGGTACGGGCCTCCCCCTCCCGGCCCGGAGCCCCGCCCGTCGCCTCGGCCTGTCCCCGCGGGACCTGCCTCTCGGGCTACCGGGGCCGGGCACGGGGTGTCGCGCCTGCCCGTGCACGGGGACGCGGCCTTCCCTCCCCTGACGGGGGCTGCTCTCGCCTCCGCGGGAGGCCGGGCCCTGCCCCAGGCCGCGGGAGGATCTCGGCGGATCTTCCCCGCCCCCGCCTGGAGGCTGGGGTGCGCGGGCGAGGCTGCTTCTCTCCCCCTGTTCCAGTGCAGCAGAGGGACAATGGGGACGGCCTGTCCCAGGCTGTACTGCGCTGCTCGCGCGTGGGGCCAGCCCCGCGCCGGTGAGAGAGAAGCGTGAGCTGGGTAGGGTGTTAACCGCGCGGTTCTCTCTCCTTTGCTGCAGTGCCCACTTTCACCGCTGCCTCCTGCTCTTGCTGCTCCCGCTTTCAGCATGGTAAAGAAGAACACTATCCCCGACGGGTAAGTATCCCTCACGCTGAGACAGGCAGGAGCGGGCGCAGCCCTGCCAGCAGGGAGGGGGCGCAGGCTGCCCCTCACTCTTTCACCACAGCCTCTTCTGTGCCAGCCCCACCCTGGTAAGGTAGGTATTGGCACCAAGGCAGGAAGGACATAGCCCGTCATCCCCCAGGTGAGTATTATATCCCCAACTTGTCTATGAATACTTCTTCATCAAACCACACCTAGCTCCTTCCTAAACTGCAAACTTCTACCGGTCTTGAGGGATGGGACAGTTGTCCCCCTCTTCCCCCTTCTCACACACTTACCCTGCCCTGAGAGCTTGGGAGAAGTTGAAGGCAGCTGTTTGCATGTGGGGAATGCAACAGATCTCTTTTTCTTTACAGGTACAAGTGGTAAAGTGCAGAAGCACATATTTTATCCCATGTGTATCACTCAAGGGAGCTTAAACATTTATGGGCAGTAAGTGCTAAGAGGCAGAGTTCTGCCTTTGTCCTGTTGACCTGGCTGTACTACTGGTGGGACCCATGGGGTATACTTCAAACTAAAATAAGAGGGGGAAGTTGCTCGCTTGTTTGTTTTTTTAATAAAGTATAGCCCTTGTTTCTGACAATCTGCCAGCACCAACTACCTGGTTGGTTACATGCCCACTTAAGAACTAGTAGCTGTGAAGTTGCCACTAAAATCTATGCTGCTTACCTAAAGATCTCCAGTTGTTTTACAGAGGTGGTACTATACTTATACTAAAGTACCGGTTAAATAAGATCACGGAGCAAATGAGGAACAAGATCAAAAAAGGAGCTTGGGAATCTTGATCCCTGATTGCTGCTAAAAACATACTGTATTATGAAACTAGTCAAGGGGAAATAAATAAACTTGGAAATTTATTTTTAATGGCCTCAAAGAATTTTTATTGAGTTCTGTCATAGCTTGCTGTGGTTGGGGAATTAAAATATTACTTTACCATAGTAGCTATTTAAGGAGCTGTAACTTGCTTGTTTTCTCTATCAAACACTTTAAGTTGATTTAAAACTCCTGTCTTCTTTAAAGCAGTTTTGGTTTGTCTAACAGGAATGCAGAAAACTTGAAAAATAAGCATTTTTCTTGCTTAAATTAGTTTATTTAAAACAGAATGTGTTTCAACTCCTCAGGCTTTATTAATTTTTAATCTCTCTTCGTCATATGAATTCCATTTATTTGTCTGACAGGTACATGTAACAGGGTATGAGTTGACTTAAAATTACATGTGTTTTTTGGAAGGTGACCCAAAAGTTAAAGAAAAAGGTGGGCGGGAAGGATGGTGGCTTTTGATCTGCCAACACCACAATTCAGGTACCTTTATATTTTCAGTACTTTTAGCAGAATCATTAACTTGTAAGGCAGTGTGCAAGGAATGCAGCTCCTTGAACACTTAAGACTTTAGCAGTGGAGCTGGAGAAACCAAATGAGAAAGGGAGTCCTATATAATTATTTCAAAACAGTAGCAATCAAAGTTTTGTCCTTGTGTACCAGATTCGGCCCCTTGCAGCTTTGGCTGGCTTCTACACACTGGGATCGGGCCTCACCTGCTGCAGCTTGCAAAGCCATGCTGTCTGGCCTGTGAAGCTCCTTAGAGGTCCAGAAATTTGACAGCAGGGGAGTAGTGTCATGCTCCTCTGCCATCAAATAGTCAGACCTGTGGGGAGTCCTTTGGGCCAGATAAGTCCAGTCCCTGGTACTGTGTTAACCTACAGGGCAAGGGTTGAACCACCCGTGTTTTAAAATATATCTTTATATCCTCATATCTTCAATGTTGTGCACGTTGACACCGAGAATGTACCAGCTAGTACAAATTATTGGGATTACATTTTTGGTAAGAGATTGCTTGAATGAAAATTAAATGTGTTAATTAAATTGCAGCCAGTCTTCTAGGCAGGTATCTCAGCAACATTCAGTGTTCACTTTCTTCTGGTAGGTTGTGATCACTGTGTTTGAAATGAGGGAGATTTTGAGCAGATCCCAAATTATCTAATTCTACAACAGAGTGATCCATTTTTAAGCTTACTTTTAAAAGTTAAAAGGAGCTATAGATAATACAGCTGACCCTGAATGCATGTCAGATTTGGTTTGCTCCCATTCTGTGTCGTATGTTCTTTATAAATCTGCTTTTCTTCCCACTTATAAAAGGAATAGTGAAACTTTAGGGTTTGCCTGTATGCAGAAGTTCTACTGGTATAATTATACAGGCCTAATTAACACAGTTGGTCCCCCATATTCCTTGTACCATTACCTTGTACCATTATTGCTTAGTCCCAAAAAAAGAAATGTTATATGGTACATCATAAATATATTTGTACCATATAACATTTCTTTTTTTGGGACTAAGCAATAATGGTACAAGGTAATGTATGCAAGTATAACTACATCTATGACAGTCTGACTTTTGGATTGATGAACTTGGTAGTATTCTTTTAAGCAAATACAGCATTTGTGCACCTTGAATTATGTATCTTTTGGTGGTGAAATGGTTTTAAACAACCATGTTACATAATATTTTTCAATCAGTGTTTTGCAACAGAAAAATAAACCAGTAGAGGGGGTTCAAGGTATCTTGACAAGCTACAACTGGAGCTGCTGTAATGCTAACCATTATATAATTTTGCTTGTTTTGTGCAACAGTATCCACAGTTGAAATTGGTGAACATCATCTCGAGTGAAGTCTAACTCTCAGAAATTTCTGTAGAAATAACAATTTCTTATTTGGCTGATTTGATTCCCGTGTTTATTGGGGGTTATTGATATTGCCTAAAAAGACAGGAATGTATTTTTTTTTTCATGTGTATGTACTGATAAATTCACCAAAGAGGGAGTGAATTAAGTTGCTCATACTTGCATATTGAGCAGAATTGTTTATACAATTCTAAATGGCAATGCATATGAAAGTTTATTAAAGGAAATTGGACTGCATGTCGCCCATAACTTTACATTCATGAGGCTGCACAAATTTAACTGATTATATAATTGGACCTGTGAAACGCTTGCTTGCAAAGCTAAATGGAAAGGTTACAGTTTGGATTCAGATCTTTCTTTTTTTTACAAGGAAAAAAATACCAGTTTTTTGCAAGTAAGCTGAGAATATGTATTTGAGGTGAATGAGGCAAATTCCTGACCTTGTAAAACCTCTTAAGGCCTCATCTTAAAGCAGAGTCACATTTTAAAAAATACTAAGGAAAATAGAAGATAGTTCATTGTATGAACGTGTGGGGAATTGATGATGTCCTATTTCTGTACAGTGCTTAGGCTTAGATCATACACTACAGTACACAAGTATGAAGCCACATATTATTCTATCCTATGGAGAATAAACAGAGGGAATTCCTCTCCATTGTTGTTGAGTTTTGCAGCCTTTCAGCTGCAGTAACCTTTCCAGCTCCTGTGTGCCTATTCTACAGGGGTTGGAGAGAAGAGCAAGTGGCAAGATTCCATCTAGCTGCAGGTCCCTAAGTAACTATGCCCTTTTTTTTTCATCTCCTGTTTTACATGTATTGGAATATTTGCCCCCCTCCCCCTGTTTCTGAGCAATTAGTTAGTTATTTGATACAGCTTTTTAATGTACTGTCATTCCCCCCCCCATTAGTTATACAGTCTTATCTTTTATTATAAGGTAAGCATAGAACTGTAGTAACTACTCTTTAATTATGGATATTTATAAAGGAACTTATTATTTGTCTTTTGTAGAATTGGGAATTAAGTTTTAGCTGTAAACATGTGCTCCATTACGATTATTTCACTTTTCCCATTGTGTCTTTTGAGAAATAGACTAATGGTCTTCACTAGCTTTCCACTCTTGGTTTAAATACCTTTCCTAACAGATTAATGCTACCATTTACATTTCTTGGATGATTCTGGTGAGCTGTCACTGCACTTCTACGGGAAAAAAAAAATCTTGGTCCCTTAAAAATACACAAGAATAATGCTATTAGAAATTGAAGAGTTCCATTTATGTGTGGAACAGTAGAGGAAATACCAGTATCTTCATTTTGCTGCTACTATGTTCTGTTTAATTTTGGTTGTGTACCACTTATGTGGAAGACACATGCTGAGGCTCTATGATTGTTCAGACTTCGGCACCTCTGTCCAAACTATTGATGTCATCATCAGTTCCCTGGGATTTTGTGGGACAATGGTACACTTCACAAAAGCCAGCAAATATCAGTTGTGACTAGTTGCAAACAACTTTGGACATGTCTCGTGACCATTGTTTCTTCCATGCATTATTAATGCTACTGAGAGCTGTCAAGTACAAGGCAAGACAGTATATCCTTTCAAAGCTGCTTGTGATGCTGAGAAATCCAGTTATATAATTATTTTACCAAACATCTACTTATTCTGATAACCTTGGTAAAGGTGGGCAAGCTAGATCTTTTGCTTGAATTGTTTAAGTTGAATAACTATTTTGCAAAGCTGCCATAGGAGAAATGTATGTATGTTAATGTTGACTGCATGAAATATACAAAATTGTATATAATAGTTACAGCAGTTAACCTGACAGTGAAAACATAGCTATGCATACATTTTTTCTGTAATCTGTTGTTCTAAAATAATTTTAATGTTCCTGTTATAAAGGTACAACTGCACTTTTCACAGGAACTGATTAAACAGTAGGATTTCCTATATAAACCACTGAATTTCACTGGATAACAATTCTTCCTAATACTTGGTGAGCTGTCATATGAGTTAAGATTGATCACTTATATGGGTGAAAATACCTGCTGCCATTTATTGTGATACTAAGATTTACTGTTTGGTGTTATTGTTATATGCAGTTCTGCTTAACCTATATTTTATGGCGACTCCGTATGGATGGCACTTACTATATTTTCTCTCATACTGTATTTTCCTAGAATAAGAAACACACCTTGTTTTTTGAAAGCAGAATAAATCCATCCAAAATCAATGTATTTCCAAAATTTTGCAAACCTATCCAAAATTTATTATTGGGTTGGGGGGGAGAGGTAGGGAAATGATCTAGCCTTGTAATAACTGAATAGCAGCAGCTAGGGAGCTGAACCCACTCCATTTTTCTGCTCCATGCGGATTGCGTGCAGAGCAACATTTGCTTTTGTCCTTCAGAAACTTAAATGGTAGGAACTGCTGTTATTGTATTTCCTCACTTACAACATGCCCCATTTCCAAAACCTAGGAAATCAGGGTGCATGTTATATGTGGGAAACTAAGCTAGGTAGTAGTTATAAGGCTACTCAGTTTTTGTTAATACGATGGGGGTAAGTTAAACCTGCTAGTCAAATCTGACATCTGCTTATTAAGGCTTGTCTGTGGGACTCTTTTTTAACATACTTGTTCAGATGAATTCTTTATCAGATGTCTGTGCTTAACTGCTAATGTTTCAGGGTCAGTTATAAACTTTTCATGGACACCTTTCTGATTTAGGGTAAGCTCATCTTCAATCATCTTTTAAAATGTCTTCCTCAGAAACATACATCCCTGCCCTGCTGCACTATGTCTTTCTGTTGCCTTGAGTTCTCCTAGTACTTCAAGCTGTGCTGCTCTGCACTGCAGTGCCCCACTGCTTAGGGTGAGGAGAGGGGAGTCGGGGAGACGGAGCCCCGAGCCAGAGCAACGGGGCAAGCAGAGGCAGGTAGCCTAGAGGTTGTAATTTAGCCCCTTGTAAACTGTCAGTTGGATAGCCCTGAGCTAGAGTATCGTAATGAAAATACAGTTACAACTCTGTAACTTTTTTGGCAACTATTTTCAGGCCTAAATAACTTCATGAAAAACATACATAGCCTTCGTTTTTCCTTCTTGTTCTCATGCCGAAAGCAACTTGCTTTTTCCTTAGAAAAGTGGGTAAAATTATTGATGTTTTAAAGTGGTTGAATGAATTTAGGGAGAGAGTGCTTCCATACTATGGGAAGAAGAGGGGTTGGGTTGAAAGGGAATTGAAGATTTCAGACATTTTATTTACAGAAAGTAAAATCTTGATAGTCATGAAATATTCACACGTTTGAAAAATTAGAAAAATAAAGATCTAATTGAAAATGTATTGTGTTTGTGTGCTTGCTGTTTGTCACCATTTATTTAACTGTCTTCTTGGCTGCTTTCCTGTTAAAACAATAAACTTAACTTGTGGCTTTGGACACTCTGGAATCGAGGAAATTTGAATCTGTGTCAAGACCCTGAAGATATCAAAGTTACATGGCCATTCTGATGTAAAAGTAGGCCTTGGCTACCAGTCCTGTCAACCCTTTCAAAATGCCAAATGTGTTACTTAACGTTGAAAAGTCTAATTTACTTTGAGGCTGTGTAGCAATATATTTCAGACTTGGATGTTCAGCTATTTGCTGGTTAGATGCACCTCCATTAACACTCTTTCCTGAATATAATTTACTCACCTGGGTTTTCCTCCTACATCCTGAGCATTTCTTAGGAGGGGTTCAAATATTGCTATGATATATTGGTCGATCCTTGGTTCACTTTTTTTCATCTGCTTCCATGTGACTTCAGTCAGTTCTATGGATTCAGCTGTTACTTCTATACTGTTGATTCCTAGATCTAGTTCTGCACCCCCAACCTCTCACTATTACTGTATTCCAAGTATTGCTGCCTTTTTCTGATAACTTTATGGGTAACAAGTTATCAGAAGGATAACTTTTCTGTCCAAAGTGATTTTTTGGATTGTTGGCAGTTATTTAAGGATTCACTTGTAACAATTATTTTCTTCTTTTTAAAAAACAATCTAAACCTTTTAACCTTAATGCCATCTTCACTCTCTGACTTGCTTGTATCTTAGTTTAAATGTCCTCTTGCATAATTTCCTCTTTATTCCGTATCGGTATCTTTTGGCCTTCCACAATTTGCATCTTGCCTTTCTCTACATCTATCCAAAATTACCATTAAAATAATTGTCCTGTTCCTTCACTGGTTCTTTCTTACATTCTAGAACAAATACAAGATTATTCTCTTCAAAACTCGGCATTGCCCTGTTTTTGTTTCAGCCTAACCCTCTCTTGTCTTCCCTGTTTTTTCTTTTGCTTCTGTATCATTTTGCCAGACACTATATTATTAAAAGTAGTCTGCAGTCCGTGCTCCTTATTTCTTTTGATGTATAGAGCCTCAAATGGTATTAAAGTTGGTTTTTCTCTTATTTTCTACTGTGGAAGCATTGGGAATATTAAAATTTCTAATAGTTTTGCTTACTGTTTTCTTGGAAAAGAAACTGGCTTGTTCTTTTCAAGTAAAGGTTCAGAAATTTCACGAAGTGAGTTTTTGCCAAATTTTCATCTTCTGTATTTGAATTATATCGGTGTTCAAAAGAAGACAAGATCTGAAAATTTGGTTAAAACACTTCTTACCTCTCTTAGTAAGCCTAGGCTCGGATATCAATCTTCGTATTTCTTTGTACTTTCAGGCAGAAGAGGGATTATGCAAGATAATTTCTAATGCAAATTTAAACCTCCAAACACTTTTATACATTAGAAACTATATTTTGTGGTGATTGGGTGGGGGAAGGAGATATCTGAATTTTGCATAGTCTTCTCAGCTTGCATTTAATGCCAAAGATGCCTCGGGCTAAGTATCAACCTCACTTGTTTGAAAGAAATTGGTATCTACTAGCGTTATATTTAAGAAAAGTTTAAGAGGAAGGAATTCTGTTGCTTTATCTCATGCATTTGATAGTGTAGGTTGTTGAAAACATAGGAAGAGCTGTTTGGTTTGGAGTGTCTAATTTGTGGTACAGGCTGCACAAGTAGCAC